ACGCCGTTGGATTTCGATCAAGCCGTATTCAGGAGTCAGAAAGTATATTCCAATTTTAATTATGGAACGGATGTCAATCAAATTAGATTATTTTTATTTGGTCCTTATTGAGGAAAGCTGAGTGAGATGTTGATAGAGATTTTTCGAGAAGAGGAGGACATGAAAAATGATTTAATATTAAGTGACAATGCGAAGTTTGTAAAAGAAAACAGAAGAAAATAACCTTTATGTACAATCATGTGTATTATAAAAGTCATTTAATTAAAGTTTCTTCTCACCGGTGTGATATAACAAACAAACAATTACAACATTCGTATATCCGTTCTTCCGTTCCCTGTGCAGTGTTTTGGCTGCTCGCCAGTCTTATATGCAATACGTCAAGCGCATATTACTTACATAGTCTCCTTGTTCAAAGAATTTAGTGGGCATGACAATTATAATACTTCGGTGCAAACTGAGTTATAGGTTTTAATTGCTTTTGAAGGACTTACTTACCGGTCAATTTTTTTTATGGGATACGCCGGAAAACGAGCGGATGGATACCTGATGGTAAGCTACCGGCGTCGCCCATGGACACTTGGAACACCAAAGGCGTTAAGTGCGTTACCGGCCTTTTGGGATTAGTAATTTGAGGATTATTGGGGATTCAGGGATTGGGGAAGAATGGTAGATAATTGGGCTTTTAGCAATCAGAGGGTTTTATCTTAGTTGGCATAATTATCCATTTAAATTATACACATCCAAACGAAATGAATGACGACAGAAATAGAAGACGTTCATCACTTATCTCGAGAAGACGCTGGACTGGAGAGCAGTGCTTGCTGAACTGAACGGAACCTTTTAAACTGCTATCCTCCCTTTTAAACTCCAACCCGTCTACCAAGTAAATAGACAAACCCTCTTTTGTAGTGGAGGCCTATACTCCGACAGTAGACTGTAAAGAATATTGTTGATGATGAAACAAAGTGAATAGGGTCGGTTTTCAATTGATAAAATTCTTAACATAAATCGTTCTACGATTTCTGTCAAAGGAAGGGTCTCTTTAATTATTTTGAATATCAAACGACCCTTTTCAGACTGTTCTTATTATTCTTTCATTAATATTTTTTATCAACAGATTTCCTCAGAAATTTCAGTGATGTCCGTAAATATTGAAGGGCTAAATAATAAGGAAATGATGAAGCGGAATTATTTTATTAATGACAAAAAAGCAAATTTTTCTAACAGGTATTTATTTATTTCTATTGATATTCTAATGATTAGTCAGTATTAGATTGAAATATTCTAATGATGAGTCGCTATTCTCACTTCTGTACTATATGCACCTAATGCACATTTTTATTAATTTGTAGAATTTAATAGAGTGTAGAAGCTGTAGCTGGCCCTTAAGATCTGTAACAGGAAAAATAAATGAACAAATCTTCGTTTTCTGCTCAACTGCTTAGCATTTTCGTTTCGTCAAAAACTTGTTAATTATTTTGCCACTTACCGCAATAAAAGTAGTTAGGGACATCTGATTAAAAGGTCCAGCTCTGAAGACAAGTATCTTCTTGGTAGTGAGTCCTAACAACGCTACTTCTTTCTGCAACTTCTTGTTCGCTTGAGGCCAATCACTTTCGAAAGTGCTGTAGCTTACAAAGGTACTCTAAAACATATAGAGGTATAATGACGTACAATTCTTAGTACATCAGGTATGGGGAGGCCAAATTACTTTTTAGGTCTTTTTGGAGTGGTGGGGAACAGTTTTCTGTTTTTTTTTTGGACCAGAAAAAACTTACTAAGTATCTGTTTTTGTAAAATTGTACACAGTTGCAGATTATGGACAATCAAGTACGATGGGCTATAAACTGCGTTAGCACCCTCGAAAATTGAAATGCAGATATGTAAAACACCGTAAGCACTCGGGTGAGTCGCCTCCCGACCAGAACCAGGCCCGAGCGTACGGCGCGTCGAGTTCCGCGCGCGCCTCAAGGAGCCATCAGACCACCACGGATGAGGCCCAATAGGGCTGATGCCGATACGGAGCCGGGGCTCCTGCTCGAAATGCAGAAGTAGAAACGGGGTGGGTTTTAGTAAGTAAGAGTCTGACACTCCCTCTCGCCTCGCCCGGGCGGGAGAAGTCATACTTAGGGTGATTTTCCCCCTCAAAAAAAATATGTAAAACAAATTAATTACCTCAACAGTGACCTCATTGGCAAACCAGTAGAAGAGCAGCAATTGGATTAAACAGGCGATCACGAACAAAATGCTCGATACCAAAGTGGTGATGTCATCATGGATCTGTGAAAAAATCCATTATACGAATGCAACTAAATAAAATAAAGAATAGAGAGAATGGAAGATATATTAGAGTCATAATCAGGAACACATTCTTCTGCATCCTGCATAATTATATTGTCGATTATCTTTGGATTTAATTGAAATTGAAACTACTTTCAATTGTCAGCAGATATGTTTATTGAAGAGATATTTTACCTCCACAATCTGTACGATGCAGACGCCCAGGTTGATTGAAATTACCACCAGGTACATGAACATCACTGGTGAGATCAGCGCATTGAATAAATGTGTATATCTGAAATAATATTTATAAGTACACATAACACATAGATTTTTTTAAGGGGGGAAATCATCGAATGACTGCTCCCGCCTGGGTGAGGCGGGAGGGAGTGTCAGACTCTTACTGACTAAAAACCACCCCGTTCCTTCTCCTGCACGTCGAGCCGACATAACATAAAGATAGAACAAACTTTTCTTTAGTTTGGCCTCCTCTTGGCTGTCTTGGGACCAATTTACCTATATTCCGCTAGATTGAAAAGACATGTTGTACTTACTCAACCAGCGTGGTGTAAAAACGATGACATTTCGCAATGTTTTCATGGCTTCTAGTAGAATTCAAAGCGTCTATCGCTAACCTACAATACATACAGGTGATCTTCAACTGCCCAGTAAAGAATATCATTATGGACACCACAAGAGTATCCCAGCCAACGACATAAGCACTGACGATATGCCCCAACACAGTCTGAATTAACATAGAGAAGTAATATCCAGGAGGCTCATTGTCAAAAGGAGTGTACCCGTCAAAGATTTTCAAATAAATGCTGGTCCCATTCTCATTAATCTGATTCTTCTGATAGGGTTCAGTAAAAATACTAAAGTTAGAGAAGAATGCCAGAGCCCAAAAGAAATACGACACCTTCCGATTTCTCTTAATATACTCATGAATTATATCGTCATGCTTTTTGTCGTTTTTAGCCAACTGCTTTCTCTCTACAGAAGACATGTAATCAATGACAAGCTCCCAATTCTTGTAATCCTTTTGAAAGAAACAGGATTTCACGATGCCCATATGAAATGGAGCATACTGCAGAATCAGTTTGAGAGAGTCAGCATTGAACTTAATGAAGCATTTAATATACTGACTGAAGAAAAAAGTTATGGTGACATAGAAAAGAATTTGCTTAAAACGCCCAATTAGGGTTTGACGGTTAGGGTGCCAAAGACCAGTAAATCCTAGGAGTTTAAGATGTGGTCCTACAGATGGATATTCAGGGTCTTCGAGAAACTTTAGAACATTTCCAATCGAACATTTGTCCGACATTTTTGGAAACTTCTGTACACTCTGAAATACTGGAATTAAATGATGTTAAGACTTAACAGAAAATAATTGGCGTGAGAATTTCGATGTGAAATGCAGTTGTTAGGTACGTGTATTTAGTAGCGAATAATAACAGGGTGCTTTTGCCGTTCAGATTTTCTATTAAGAATTCAGATGTTCCACGTAGTTAACTACCTACGTATCTAATTTCATATTGTTTTATTAATTACAATGTACGAAATACAGATTGTCATTTCGTTAGAAGTGTATATTTTATTAAATTGTTTTGTGTTCTTAAGTACCTATTTCTTAGGGGAATATATCAAAATTATATGGTTAGTCATACCTGGTAGTAATTAAGGCAGAGGTTTGCAATATGGGCCACTCTGCAAAGCGATAAAGCGACTATACTAATGTTATTTTTTTTAGATATCGAAATGTGAATATTAATCTTTACTAAAGTAAACAGGGGTTCCACTATTTGTACGTGTAAAGTACACAATGAGCGGCTACTTCCAAACCAAATACGAATAAAATAAATAGATCGATGTATGACAACGACTATGTTGTATCATTGCATGTCTTTTTATTCTAATGGTACTAAAGCCTGTCATATTGGACATAGCAAAAGTGCAAATGTGTTTTCGATTTTTTAAACTTTAATTACTTAATTGGAACGCTGTAGTTAGACTTTTAATTAAGAGTGCCTATCTACTTTATATAAATTAAGCACAGGGCCAGAGCTATGACTAGATAAACAGCTATATAATATACAGGAACAATGAAAGTGTGTCTATTTCCGAAGTTTTAGTAAGAATCCCGGTTGAATGTTAAGCCTGTCGTTATGTCCAGATAAGATCGCTGGCGGAAATTAAGAGGAAATTGTATTTGTTTCTTATACAGCGACGATGTCACAATAAAGACGATATCCCTGCAAGGCTGTGTATAAATTAAATGTTAATTTTCTATTACAATTAGTACGTAGCTCAGATGGGCAGATAAAAGGTAAGGGCTTTAATCTTTAAAAGCTTTCTTCTTCATCTTATAAAGTAGGTATAATGAGTTTTGATAATAATTTAAATTGCAATAAAATATACCTTAGTACCATATTCACTCTCCAGGTGTAAATAATAGTAAATACTCCGTGGTCAGATTCTTGTACGACTTCTATAGCATAACCTGTCTACTTTGAAACCTAGTTTATGTTTTCATTTATAAAATAAAAATATGTATTTTTTTTTTTTAGTTCGTAATTGAGTATTAAAATAATAAGGTCATCCTTATAAATAAATTAAATAAATAAATAATATTTTCTTCATTTTAGACCTGAGAAACGTGAAACGAAACGTAATGTTTGACGCTTGAGAAACGCGGGCGCCGAACGAACGCGTGTGTCAGTTTAAAATTTGACGGTTACTTTGACTTGACTGTTGAGGAAAGATTCAAACACCGTTTGTTTTGAAACGGAGTTATTATTAAATTTAATTTAATTTAATACCTTGTGACTTCTGATTCATGTGACGCGAAGGAACCGTTGGAACTGTAATTGTTTCAATTGTGGGCAGTAGTGGTGTGGTCCAGTGACAGGCGTGTTTTTGTTCAATGAGATAAGTTGTGTGGTGATTTTTTAAACATGGTCAAAATAGAGAGAGCCCCTGGTCTGGGCGGCGTGAAGTCTTCAGCTCTTGCACCATCGAAGAGTGGATCAACACAGAACATGGCTGCAAATATAAAGGTTGTTGTGAGAGTTCGGCCTCTAAACCAAAGGGAACTAGACATGAACACCCGCGTCGTGGTGGATGTAGTTGACGAAAAGATGTTAGTGTTCGATCCCAAGGAAGAGATGAGGCCGTTCTTCTACCAAGGAGTCCAGCAACCTAATAAGAACTTTTTAAAGCGCGCAAACAAGGAGTTAAAGTTTGTATTTGATAATGTATGTGGCCAGAATGCAACTAACAATGATGTGTTTGAGACTACTACTAAGGACATTCTGTCTTCTCTGATGGAGGGATATAATTGTTCTGTGTTTGTGTATGGAGCTACTGGTGCAGGCAAGACCTTTACTATGATTGGTAACACTGAGAATCCTGGCATTACCTATTTGACCATGGAACATTTATTTTACACAATTAATTCTTATGAAAAGGAGAGAGAGTTTGATATTGGAGTTTCTTATATTGAGGCAAGTCTTTAATTATTGTTTATAATTTTTTAGCAAGTTATCTAGTGTTGTTATTTTTGTTATTCAAACCCGTTGAAATCCATCCCCTAAATTTGGTCATACAAAAGCAGTCTCTAAACATTAGAAATAAAGTCTATAATGTAATGTAATATTAGTGGAAAGCGGTCACCGGTGACCGCTTGGGGATTTATGGGTTAATTTGTTTTGATTTATCAATGCTGTTACTAAGTTTGCAAATGTTTGTTACACAACTTCATAGTTTTTGTTACCTCTTTCTACCAAATATAAATATTTAGTACAGTTACTATAATAGAACAGATTTAATGCCATTAACAGATAACTATTGTGAACATGCTAGCTCAAAATGAAATACTAAAAATGTAAATTACCATAATTTATCAATAATTAATTACAGGTATACAATGAAAATGTATACGACTTATTAAAACCTTCAAGCACACCACTGCAACTGCGGGAGGACTCGAAGTATGGTGTCATGGTGGCTGGATTGACGCTGAACAGCATCAAGACTGCACAGGAACTCCTCAATATGCTGGAGAATGGCAACAAGAACAGGACACAACATCCAACGGATGCTAACGCTGAGAGCTCCAGGAGTCATGCAGTTTTTCAAGTAGGTTTCTGTTATTAGAAGTGTTCTTTATTTTGGAGTTATGATAACTTTTAAAGTGTGTCAAATGCACTGAATAAGAAGGATATTGTCTATGTTCATATCAGTAAAATAGTCTCCTCTGACAAAATTTTAGATAATGATGGTTGACCTTTCAGTATTTATCTGTCAAATATTTAGTCCATATGGTATATTATATGCCTGGGTGTCTGGTTACAGCTAGATTAGTTAGTAATTTAATAGCTCTTGATATATTAGTTCTTACATAATACAAGTAACTAAAAAAATTTAAGATTGTAGTCTTATTTTTTTTTACTTTATTAAATTAGTGTGTGTCTACATAGTAGTTACTTACTACATAGTCCTATACAAGTCTTATGACTTGATGCTTTGTAAGTATATATATCTGAAAGTATAATTTTAAATAAAAGAGTGAATTCTGCCCCTTTTTGGTTCAAATGTCAAGTTACAGCATTGACTATAAAATTGACTTACTACTTCCGCGCGGTTTCACACGCTCTGCTCAGCTCCTATTGGTCGTAGCGTGATGTTTTATAGCCTATAGCCATCCTTGATAAATGCACTATCTAACACAAAAATAATTATTCAAATCAGACTTGTAGTTATGGAGATTAGCGCGTTCGAACAAAAAAACAAACTCTTCCGCTTTATATAATAGTATAAGATTTCAACAGGTATATGTAAAAATGCGTTACAAGACAAGTAGTCAGCTGCGCATTGTAAAGCTGTCTATGATCGACCTGGCGGGAAGTGAGCGCGCGTCTGCTACCGGCTGCGTTGGCGACCGGTTCAAGGAGGGCGCCAACATTAACAGGAGCTTGCTATCATTGGGCAACTGTATCAACAAGCTGGCAGATGGCAGCAATTATATACCTTACAGGTAATGATTTCTTTGTCACTTTCTTAAAGGAATAGGATTTGGGTAATAGGATATCTTCTAGGATAACTTATCTATTAGGATAACTTCGAAAAACATCTCATGATGTCGCCTTAGGTTCAATATAGGTATCTTATGTTCGCATTGTCTCATGCAATGGACTTCAGCTCACCTATCAGCCTGTCACAAGCTTTAAGACAAGTATTGTTTGACAAGTGTAAAATAAATATTTTTGGTTTTTCCAGAGACTCAAAACTGACAAGACTCCTGAAGGACAGTCTCGGCGGTAACTGCAAGACTGTCATGATCGCCAATGTTTCCCCTGCAAGCACCAGTTACGAGGACACTTACAACACACTCAAGTATGCAGCCAGAGCCAACAAGATCCAGCTCAGTATAAAGAAGAATATTGTGGAAGGAGATGTCAGGTTGTCACAGTATGTGAAGATTAACCAAGAATTGATGAAGAAAGTCAAGGAATTGGAGGCGAAATTGTCGCTATCTAGTCTTAAGGTCGTGTCTCGGGAGCCGGACATGGCTAAGGAGAAAGGTATTGTTTACTACTTATTCTAAACTTTGTACAGTATTGTGTGTATACTGGCTAGATAGAATCGAGTTTGCTCTATTTATTGATTAGTCTGGGAAGCCATATAATAAAGAAACTTACACCTTTATCTCATGGAAACAAAAACTATACAGCATCTACTATAGTCACACTTAATTCTTTAGTTTCACGCATTTGGTCATTCATAAAAACATGTTATAATATAGTTTGTTATTTGTTGATAGCAAAACAAGAATGGCGTAAGCGCATCTCTGCAGAGGAGGAAGTGTACAGTGTCCTGGAGTCCAAGCTGCTGAGCCTGATGTCCCGGCAGCGCGTGCTGGCGCTGCGCCAGCGGCTGCGGACGCGCGCCTTCACACATGTCGCAGACCTCGCGCACAGGTCCTCGACTGAAGCTATGGAGCAGGTAGTAAACAATAAACTATATTATAAAATGTTCAATTTCTACATTTGTATCTTTTACCTATTGAGTCTCTATTAATGTATTCTTTTTTTATTTAGATGTGTAACGAAGAAATTCCACGTCAAGAACGCGCAGCGGAAAATTACATGAAACAATCCGTAAACTTAGACTCTAAAGTACTAACTGCTTGGACGAAATGGGATGAATGCAAGAAGAAACTCCACGTTATATGTCAACAAGCACTTTCAGACTGCCCAGAACTCAATGATTTCGTTGATAAAGTGCACTTGAACAGTGAATTACGACAGATCAGAGCTAGAGATAATTTAAGGCAGAAATTATTATCTATAGAGAATGATGAGATCGAAGCCTTCACGGAATACATGAGCGACATGCCCAGTATGTTGAAGAAATTGTATCTGACGCTGAAAGGCTATGACAAAGCCCCGCCAGCATTGACAGCGGAATATTTAGAAATAATGAAGAAAGCTAAGTCAGCTAAGGGCATCACGTGGTCAGACGATGGGAACGAGGGCGATGCTCACTTCAAGTTCGTTTCGACATTAGATATCAAGAAACCATCAACCACACTAGAATATGGTTTCTCTAAAAAGGATGACGTTAACGCAACCGTCGATATCATTACCGATAGTGATGATCTTACTGACTTAGAGAATAAAGAGCCCATCAAGTTATCAGCCAAGAAGCGCAAAGGAACACCTATTAAACTGCTTAATAACGAAACTATAATTATAAACGATTCCTTCGAGAGTATGGATACGACGAGAAACTTGAATTCTGCCAAGAAGATCAAGAGGGAATATGACTTCGCCGCGGACGTTGAAAACTATGGTGTTATTGATCCTAAAGATCTGAATTCGACATTTGTGATGACTGGAAAGGTGGAATCTATGAAGAAACCATTTAAAACTGAATTCAAGATGGAATTAAATCCAGTGAAGAAGGGACTGACGGATAGAACAAATACTATGCCAAGGACTATCAATTTTGGTGACAAAGGTATTGTGCCAATAGCTTTAACTAGCAATCGAAGTATTCTAGTTTTTAATGCCTTGTCATAACGATAAATTTATATTTCTTCGCAGCTAAAGTAGTGAAGCCAGTGATCGGTAAGGCGTTACCGTTCAGACGTCCACCGCCCCAACAGAACCCGCCACAGAGAAACTTTGGTTTCGGCTCCAGTGTACCGCGAGACGCGCAAGCGCAGAGGAATGTGCAAGGTACCAATTAATTTTAACCTTATGCATGTGGGAATTGAGATCTTATTCATTATGAGTTGATAAGTGACGATTGTTTGGTTAGCATAGATTGTTTTAGGTGGTGAAAATAAGGTTTTATTATTAGGTGATATTGAAAATACATAGTAGAAAGAATGTTATTTTATTTTAATATTTTTTTCCTGGTATTATTATAATACATTCTACTACTTATAGTACCTAACCATAGAAGTACCTATTGTAGAGAGATTACCTACAAAAATACCTACAGTAACTAAATCACACCTATACTAACTGTATCATGGGTACCTATTATTTTTATTTGGTTTTAATAATGGTACAGGTCGTCATTTTGTCCGTCCCGTTCTGTGTCGTAACTCGTAAATAATATCGATTATAATCATCACGTCATAAACACCTGAGCAAAGGACCGTAACATTTTTTAATATTGGAAAATGTTATCTTTACGCTTTATGAAATTTACGCTCGTGTTTTCATGACTCAATCCGTTTTATTTATTTCAAAATGTTCAACTTTCAATTTTGTATACCTATTTTGATCACATGGAGAACAAGATTTTGCCCTTAACTTATCTGTTGGTGTACTGCACGATTATAATCACGGGTTCGATTCCTGGATTAGGGCAAAAACATAGTAAAAAGAAAGCACTGTACACAAAAAATTTGCTACATATACTACACATGATGCATGATGCGTTGTCTATATGTTTATGCTACCCGTAAACGTTGTTGTGGTATCTCAATTTATGTTCTAACTCACTAACAATTCCCTTCCATGTCGTGTGTGTGCCGTATAATAAACTAATAGACTCGATGGCTCGGGGCAAGACGAATGTAACTCAAAAATCAGTCGGTTGTAAAGCAGTGCGGGCCAGGGACAGGTTCCAGTCACATCCTTACTCCAGGCCGCCGCCCATCTCCAGGAAATAACGACGAAGACAAGACGACTGTACAAATAGGCTACGTAATAGAGGTTTGTATGACCTAATTATGAATGTTAATCTTAATATTAAGTTGATTTAAGATTGTAGACTGATTGCAATAACAATAATCTGTCACATATTTACTGAACTTAAACCAATTTAAGTTCTTTCCACAAATACTTTAATTAAAACATAAAATGTTAATGTTAGTACAAATAGAGAATGCTCGTCTAGAATATTCGAGACTAAGTCACAAATTAACTAGGTAACTAATTAACTTGTCATAAAAATGCCTCTAAGCTTCAAAATTTCAAATATACATTTTGTTCAGTCAATACCTATAGAAATAATTACACAAGTCGAAGTTTGTTGTTTAATGTTTACTATAGTTTATACATAAAACAGTTTCACAGACTGCTAGACTGGTAGATATCAGAAATTCAAATAGTATTAGTGAAAATAATACGATTCTGATTTTCAATATGTACTCAGACTAGATCGTGTCTACATTCGCGAAGTTTGGACTAAAATTTAATCTAAATCGAAACTTCGGTATTGGTACGTCAGAATTATTGAGTGTGTCGCTTTGATTGGTCGCTCGTGTTAAACGCTATTTTGTCCACTTGGGATTGCTAACACTTTGTGGGAAAATTGACCAGATATTTCAACACTAACTAGAAATTCGTTTATAACGATGACTTTGTTTGTCATACTCCAGTAAATGTACCTGATACTCACCATAAATCATATTATTCAAATGTTACAATTTAAATTAAAATAACATACGATATTTATATGGGCTTCCATGTGTATGCTAATTTTATACATAAAATATAGCGATACACGTTGCACGCGTTGCTTCCAAATAAATAAACATGTGTTGTTTTATCTACACATTTAGATTTTCACTCGTAAAGAATTTTCTTTTAGCAAAATTGAATAAAATGTTTCGAATAAAAAACGATTGATTTGGTTACGGCCGATCGTATAAAATAAATTATTTATTTAGTATATCTATGCGACTTAACTTCGACTTAGGCTTCGGAAAAGAATTACTTTTGTACCGAAGTATTCTTTTGTTTTCTCAACGTCGACATCATATTTCTTATCTCATTTGTAGAACCTATATAGTTTTAACATAGTTTTAAAATGCTGCTTTAAATAATTTGTATTTTGTATTAAAAATAATTATGTTTTTGTAAATGTATTGATGTTTCATTCAACATTGTATTTATTTTGTTTTAATGGTATAGATTTTTACTTTTATAATAGCTTATTGTAGTCTGGCATTGTGTAGATCTGTAGTAATTTAACCATTATGAAATGTTAAAATAAGTTATCGATATTTCCTATCGATTAAGCTGAGACTTAATTGATATGATATATGAAAGATTTTGTGAAATAATATAGTATTTTGTCACTATCTTTTTGTCTTAGAGTTTCCAGAAATTCAAAAATTTTTTTTTTATGGTTATGGACTTTTATAGGCATTGGAAATATTTTAAAATGACGTCACTACAGAAAACGATTCTTGCCCATACTGATTTTGATTTAATTTTCATACACATTTGTGCTAACTAGGAATAATTTTGATACTTTACCGAATTGTTTTTCTACATTTACTATATCTTTGTAAATTACGAATTTTCTTACTAGAATGTCTGGTATATAGTGTGTAGACACCTATAGTAATGATATAATTGTAACTAATGCTTAGATTTTTAATATATCGTGTACAATTATTACTAATGACTGAATTATTTTTAGGCTTATTGTTTTTATGATTTAATATTGAATATGTGGAGGTTTAATTAAACAATTTGAATTGATTTATGTTTTCTTTTGAAAGTAGAATTGATTGTTCTCTGTGTACCTATAGACTAGAAAGGTACAACCCAGTAGGACATATTTCATCTTATTAGGGTATGTTTACATGGTAGCGGAATTTCCTTTTGCGATTTTGTATTTATATGGTTTCTCCAATCATATTAAGCAAAGCTAAATCGTAACCGTTCCGTATGGCTACTTTAAACTATACTATGCGTGTTTACGGGTAGACACAGTATGTACCGAAGCTACACGTTACAGACACTCTTTCATTAGAGTATCAATTAAACACGAAGAACGAAACTTCGACTGGCAGGCAACAGAAAAAGTCGCAGTGACATTGCTACAAAAATGCGCACTAGTGAAACTTGAACCCTACTGTTAGTGGCTCTTCACACAGTCTGTATACGACACTTTACACCCCAGCCTGTCGTATGTTAATTTATTCCTATTTTTACTGCGTTCCACTACACTGTGATCTGACCCGTATGTAGACCCCATTAGATCCGTGTGCACTCCCGTACTGGAGTCTAATTACGACGGGTACAAATTGAAGGCTTTGAAATACACCCCGGCTTTCTACATGCTTCCCGTACCGTGCAGCTAAGTTCAAATGAGATATTCGATTCCAAAATTTGCACATACACAACTGAATTTGCTGGAATGCAACGTGAAATGTGAACGGTTCATAGTTTTCGTTTCGTTTTTTAATGAATAGATTTTTTTTGTAAATGCTACAATTTCTCAGTCAAAAATTTAAACTAGGTTTGTTTTTGTGAGCTTGTGTTTATTGTATAACTAAAGATTTGACTAAACGAATGAGGGACGTACTCGTTTTTGGGAAGTCTAATAAAAACGAGCACTGGCCATGACCATCGTTATTCGAGAAGTTTTAAACGTATAGCAAATAGCAATTTTTCTGTATAGTAGATACTTATATTAATTATTCTTATTATTATTATTCCTAACTAATAAGTTAGGTTGAAAATTAGTAATGAAATTGTCATTAAACATTAACTAAGCTTCCCTGTATTTAAGTCTAAGCACTGTAAACTGTGGTAAATTTAGTTAATTTGTTCGGAACGCAAATAGTCAGCAACAACATCAAGCGATTAATTAAAATTGACGTCACGTCTCGATTCATTCCGCGCCGAGTCCCAAAGGTAGGCAAAATAAAAAGTCGGGGAAAGGTGACAACAAAAACGCGTCCAACCCTGAACGAACCGCAAATGAATTGATTCAACGCAATCAATTTTTTTCCCGCCCTTATAACTTGGGAGCTAGGGTACACGTCGACTCATTCACTCCCTCCCTGATTATCGGTCAATCATTCGGTCTCACCGTTCAGTTAACTGGAAAATTGGTAATTAGGTATAGGTGATAAAATGTTGTTGTACAACTGTTAGTAGAGAGATAGTACGGGCATGGGCGCAGTTTGATTGGAAAATCTTAGAGCTAAAGCTGAGTAACTGGCTACTTGCACCTTAGCTAGAAGAGAAATTGCATAACATTTCGCTAATTTCTGAAAGAGAAGTCGGTTTTCGCCTTTTGTATTTGAAGTCCTAGGTCACGAGTATATTAATTTCAATAGGGCAAGATTACAAATGCCATCTTATTGAGGATTTCAAAAAACAATTTAACATTCAGATCCGACCCCGAAACCGAATCCGAACCGAGACATACTAAATAAATTTCATGCCATAGGATCACCGTTAGCGCCAGTGGCTAACATATACATGGAGTGGTTTGAGGGCCAAGCCTTAATGTCTGCCCCGGTACGACCGCGATACTGGTGGAGATATGTTGATGACGTATTCGCAGTCATCAACCGGGAACATGTGGCGGAATTCGTAAGACATCTGAACTCAGTACACAGTACCATACAGTTTACCACTGAGAAGGAAAAAGATGGAATGTTGCCGTTTCCGGCAACCGAGTTTCCTGGAAGCCGAGTCTGAAATCTGCGTCAGAATACACTGTCGAGGGTCTTTTTATTTTTTTTTAAGGGGGAAATCATCGACTAACTGCTCCCGCCTGGGTGAGGCGGGAGGGAGTGTCAGACTCTTAGTGACTAAAAACCACCCCTTTGAGTTCCTTCTCCTGCACGTCGAGCCGGAGCCCCGGTAACCCGTTAGGTTCTTCGCGACTCCGAATCGGCATTGGCTCTGTTGGGCCCCATCTGTGGTGGTCTGATGGCTCTTTGAGGCGTGCGCGGAACGCGACGCGCCATACGTTCGGGTCTGTTTCTGGTCGGACGGAGAGCCACCCAAGCTCGCCGTCCGCAGGCCCGCGCATACGGAGGCCGGAGATCGTCCCGCGATCCCCGACAACGAAGAGCTGCCTCCTCCTTAGCTATCATAACTGCTTCGCAAAAGGAGGAGACGGCATCCCGTGTGTTGAGGGTCTGGAGTGTGACACAGTGAGCACGGTATGTATCTAATACTGTTTTTGTGTCGACCCGGGATTCGAACCCAACACCAACGCAGCTAGCGGCGGGCGAGTCTAGCGTGCCAAGTGTCGCGCGCGCCGCCGTCTTTGATACCACAAATGGAGGAAAGTGCGCGTGAATCACGGCAGAGGCGCGCTGGGCCCTCAGAATCCAGTAGCCAGTAGCGGCGCTACGGTCGCCGCGTCGCAGGTCGCGATATGCTGCTCATGAATTTGAGCCTCTTTTTTTTAAGGTGGGAAAATTATCGACTGAGTGCCTCACTCCCGCCTCACCCAGGCGGGAGTGAGGCGGGAGGGAATATGAGCCTCTAGCATGGCTTGAAACTACTCAAGTTTGTCGTCAAATAATTACGTTAGTAAGCCGAAAACGTAATAATTTACAGAGCCACTATTGACTATAATCAATACACTATTATTTAGGTACCTACCTATCAGATATTAGTCTTTCATGGACCTCAGGAGCGATTAGCATAAAACTAATTATCTTGTAGGTTTAGCAACATGTGTTTGTTAACCGTTTGACAAGCCGGCGGTGATCGCTTCGTATTCAAAAATACTTAACTAGGTGCATCTGTATTTCTATTATAATTGGAACTATAAAGATAGCTAATTACCTACTAGAATTACTCGTATTAAGTTTTTAATCGGTCTGGCTGGACTGCTTTTCAGAGGCCTGAAAACTAATTATATTTAGGTACGTAACGTAGGTAGGTAGGTACTATATATGTCTAGGCCATGCACTGCTTTTTGGTCATCAGTAGTTGTCTGCCTTTTATTGGTCGAAGGTACTTACTCGTGATACTTAAACACGACAGTGTACCTATTACTGCCTAACAAATTATACTTACCTTATTGCAGATATGTATCTATGTCCCCCATTGTAAATAAAATTATTAGAAGTTTCAAACAATGCAGTTACTTTAACCTTCTTTTACACAATCCTTTGTAGCGTTGCGAGTCGGACTTCCCGGGGGGACAGTTTTGTCGTTTACAGATCACTACCCCCATCTGACAGTAAACTCGCCGCAAAGTTCGGTTGTTTCGCTTCTTTTTTTTACACGTGTGGGTTTGTTGTTCTTTCCAATTCGGATAGAATATACGGGCTTACAAGGAAGTACTTAGTTTTTAGTTCCCAAAGTATCGACGTCTGTGTACGGTAGAGCTCCGCTATTGTTCTAATTTGACCAACCTATACACGCCTAAGCACCGAATTTGAGCATTACATTCCACATGAACGATGAGTTAAATACAAATGCACATTTACCAATATTTACATATGTACCTGCACTGCACATGTATAATTAGTTAACTATTAACACGTTAATACGAATATCTGTACTCTACCACAAATCACACAAGAAGAATATTTTTAACAAAATTGGAAGGACAAGGGAAACGTGAATAACGTTCAAGTAATTATTTTATTTTTCGGTTTACTCACGTAATTATTTGAGCAACTCGACTAGTTTCAAGCCATGCTAGAGGCTAATACTCATGAGCAGCATTCCGCGTCGCGCCAAAAGGACCAAACGCCGAAGAACATTATAATTATTTTAGTATATCCCACGAAAGTTATAATAATTATAAAAACATTAAAGTAAAAAATAATACACAGAACCGCAGAACTTAAAAGCCTCGAGTTCCCAGCTCGAGCAAGTAACTAAACACAGTTATACAGCTGTCAATTTGTTGTCATTCTAATTTCAAATGTCAAATTGACACCAAGACCGCATCGTGTTGCACTGGTGCGGCATCCAAAAAGCCGATTAGTCGACGTGTAAAGTTGATATTACGGAAATAATTTATTTGCCCAGTATTAATACCGGTAAGTAACCTACAAGTAATATTACAAACACAGTAACTACATCTATGTTATGATTTTTAGGTTGTAATCTATCAAACATCGAATATCATTAAGCAAAGTATGTTAAACGGCTGTTATTTTATCCGAAACAAACTTATTAATATTAACAGTCACTTGTTTCATAAATGAAATAAATGTTCTTTTTGAGATTAAAATTAGTTCTTGTTGGATTTTGATACAAGTAGTGTCATCTAGTAGATATTTTCGTTACCACAGTTTTCCGTGAGCTCAATGGAAACAGATTTTCTAAAAATAAAAATAAATATCTGCATTGTCTGCAACATAGGTATAAGATATGTAGAAGATTTTAATTAAAGTAAAACTACGTGGTTGTGTTTTAGTTAAATGTTTTAATAACATTAAGGAAATAAAAATGTAAATCTTTTATTTTTAACGAAATAATTCGCTTCTAAAATAATCATTTTATTCGTGTTTTGTTTCATAAATTAGATGATTTTTAATACTTATTCGCGCGGCAAAATGTTTGAAACTGTCTGCATAGATTGCATCATGCCGTGCTCGGTACATTCGCGGTTTGCCGCGAACGAAACGGCTAGGAATTCGTATAATAAGTAACAGTGGATAGGATTTTTCAAGTCTATTAACTAGATAAGTCAAAGGATATAAGGTAGGTACGCACGTACAGAGCAACACCTTCTAATTATTTTTAGTCATTCAATTAGTATAGGTACTTAGTTAACTATCCCATATTAGCATGTTCATAATTTAATCAACATTTTCGCAA